AGAGAGAGAGAGAGAGAGAGAGAAAGAGAAAGAAAGAAAGAAAGAAAGAAAGAAAGAAAGAAAGAAAGAAAGAAAGAAAGAACAACAACAACACGTAGGTAAATCAGATGAGTAAACTACATACATTAAACAGATTATCAGATTTCTTCCTAGTTGTCTCCAAATATATTTTTTTTTCTCTGTCTACATTATCCATCCACCTCACCCAGCCCAGTCTGGCTCCACAGCTGTCTGTTTCTGTTGTGAAACTTTTTATCCCATTTCTCCCACTCCACTCATCCTGCAGTACAAGCTGAATCACTGATCATAAAAGAAAAAGAAAAATCTAGCAAAACAAAACTCCCCAGAAAAGGCCGCATCAGTCACTTTCCGGCAATGAACCAGCCTTAGAAAAGACCCGCAGCTCAGCTGGCACAGAAAAAGGTCAGTCCATCTCTGAGGGACCCCCTTTGCTCTGGGAACAAAGCCCCAACTCAAGAGCCAATAACACAAGAGTGTTGTTTTGCCCTGTGAGAATACTCACACTTTCCTAGGACTCTGCACTCAGCTCCACCAGAGCCCTGCTCCTTGGCTTAGAACAAGGGGGTCCATCTTTGGCCACCTTAAGACTTGTGGACTTCAACTCCCAGAATTCCCCAACCAGCAAGCCCAGGGGTAGGCAACCTTGGCTCTTTTATGATTTGTGGACTTCAATTCCCAGAATTCCTGAGCCAGCATGGCTCAGCTTGGAAACCTCTCCCTTTCCCCTCAGCATGGCTGGCTCAGGAATTCTGGGAGTTGAAGTCCACAAGTCATAAAAGAGCCAAGGTTGCCTACCCCTGAGCAAGCCTGACTGGGGGATTCTGGGAGTTGAAGTCTATGAGTCATAAAAGAGCCAAAGTTGCCTACCCCTGAGCAAGCCTGACTGGGGGATTCTGGGAGTTGAAGTCTATGAGTCATAAAAGAGCCAAAGTTGCCTACCCCTGAGCAAGCCTGACTGGGGGATTCTGGGAGTTGAAGTCCACCTATCTTAAAGTGGCCAACATTGAGAAACGCTGATCTACATGATCAATAAAAGTTGACATCAGTGGATGGTAACAAGCAATATACTAATTTCCAGTCCTTGCCCACTTTAGTTCCACTCATGTTGCTCTCAGCCTTTTGTTTCTGCAAATTCCTCAGACTCTGATTGATGGTTTAAAGCCGATATTCACATTTAAGTGGTTCCTTTATCCAGATTTAAGCATTTCAGCTTAAACATGGATTTTTGTAATGTCAGCTGTTTTAGGGCCGGATAGTCCTCAACTTAACGACCAGCTTATTTCCACTGCTAAGTGAGACAGTTAAGTGAGTTTTGCCCCATTTTACAAGCTTTCTCGCCACCGTTGCTAAATGAATCACTGCAGTTCTTAAGTTAGCAGCATGGTTGTTAAATGAATCTGGCTTCCCCATCAAATTTGCTTGTCAAAAGGTCTCAGAAGGGGATCTCATGAACCCAGGACGCAGCAAATGTCGTAACTATGAGATAATTAGCAAGCGTCTAAATTTTGATCACGTGATTGTGGGGATACTGCAGAGGTTGTGTGAAAAGCGGTCATAAGTTATTTGTTTCAACTTCGAATGGTTACTAAACAAGCAGTTGTAAATAGAGGACTATCTGTACAATGGATTTCCGACATTGTTTTGTTCAAGATATGCCTTTTGCTCTTCTCCCAGAATCCCCAGTTTTTAATTGGCAAAGTGCACCGCAAAAATCCAGGGTCAGTTTTGAAGGCTGCTAAAGGTTTGGGTTTATGTATGAGTTACAAAGCAACGTTGGCTAAATTAGCATTTGAAATGCGGCTCTCTTCCTTTCTGTGAAATTGTATACGACATTCATTCACCCGGCATGTGAACTGTTTATTCTGCATCTTGTTTGATCTTGTTTCCATCCTGTGGGCCAACTCCCAAAAGGTTTTCCAGCCCCATGCGCAAAGAAATCATGTGTACTGGAGTCAAACCCAAAACAAAGATAGAGTTGTTTTGCAAAAAGAGTAGGTGTTGTCTCAGCTGTTTCTGCAGTGGTTTTTTTTTTTTTAAAGGAATTTTTGCATTTGTGGGATTGGGTCCTGCATTCCTTCCGGATCTCTTCCACCACCTCAGTACAGTTGGCTGAACCACTGTTCACCAGATAAACCATGATTAGAGTCACTGAACATGCTAAGGCACAAATCGTAAAACTTTTGGAGCGAATCTGTATGACAGGCTAAGCCAAAGTTAGAATCATGTTTTCGGCTGCGAACTCAGCCCTCGATCTGGTTCAGGAGACACGCTAAGCCATCATGTCCATTAGTTTGTTTGTTTGTTGTTGGGAATTGTAGTCCAATAAGCGCTGAAAGCTACAAAACGGGGGCTGCATCCTGGCTCAGTGCTTGGATCAAATACTTTGAGGCGTCCTCTGGGTGTGGAGAACGTTTCAAGGTTGCTCAGCGTTGTGGTTGCTGAAAGTGAGAAGACAGTTGTGGCCAGCTAGACATCTTGTGGGAAAAGAGAGGAAGAGTAGAAGAAAGGTTTTGCCTGGACTTGAACAAGGATCCACACAACCTTGACTCATCCATGGAATAAGATGGAAAAATAACCAATTTGAACTGGCAGACAGGATGCTGAAGATTTCATTTCCCACCCCCTCTTTCCTCCCTTCTGTTTAGAGTGGTGTTTCTTAACTTCGGCAACTTTAAAATGTGTGAACTTCAATTCCCAGAATTCTCTAGCCACCATCTTTGGTCTTCAGCTCTCGGCATTCCACAACCAGAATCTGTGGACTTCAACTCCCAGAATTCCTTAGCTCTCATCTGTGGACTTCAACTCCCAGAATTTCTTAGCTATCATCTGTGGGCTTCAACCCCCAGAATTCCTTAGCCAGCATCTGTGGACCTTAACTCCCAGAATTCCCTAGCCAGCATCTGTGGACTTCAACTCCCAGAATTTCTTACCTCTCATCTGTGGACTTCAACTCCCAGAATTCCCTAGATAGTGTCTGTGGACTTCAACCCCCAGAATTCCCTAGCCAGCATCTGTGGACTTCAACTCCCAGAATTTCTTACCTGTCATCTGTGGACTTCAACCCCCAGAATTCCCTAGCCAGCATCTGTGGACTTCAACCCCCAGAATTCCCTAGCCAGCATCTGTGGACTTCAACCCCCAGAATTCCCTAGCCAGCATCTGTGGACTTCAACCCCCAGAATTCCCTAGCCAGCATCTGTGGACTTCAACTCCCAGAATTTCTTAGCTATCATCTGTGGGCTTCAACCCCCAGAATTCCTTAGCCAGCATCTGTGGATTTCAACTGGCTGAGGAATTCCTGGTATTGAAGTCCACACATCTGAAAAACTCTGGAAGGAGATTTTTTTTTGTGTATCTCTTTGCCATCCCTGCCTCTCTTTGCGAGAAAGTCCTTCCTTTCTGTTCAGTTGGATGCACACGTAGCATGAAGCCAGGATCAGTTGAAGCAGCCATAATGGGCTGGCTTGATTGATAACTTTTTAAGCCATAAACCATGATTTACAAATCACAGAGGCTGGGTTTTGACGACATTCTGATGCCCAAGCAAGTAAACCACCACAGGGCTTAATCCAGTCACTTCTTTACAACTCTGCACTTATTTGATTCTGCACCTATTTGGTTATTCAAGAGACATTAATTAAAATGATAATAAAACATACCAGATGCTGTTACTCTTGTATCTACTCACCTAGGGAGGGTTGAACAAATCAAGATGAAACCAATCAAACCCCTGTTCCTTTTTTAGGTGTGTCATGTGTGCAAGGCTGCTAAACAGAAACAGGTCTTCCATTACACAACGGCAACTATCATTTGCACCTTGTTTCGATACACCCGTCCCCCAATGGATCGCTCTTTCTCCAGTCAAATATGTAAATTAAAACAGCAAAAAAAAATATCTAAAGCAAACCTTATTTTTTTCCCACCAACCTATTTTTAACAATCTGGCTTGTGCCCGCTCCTCCCTTAAAACACACCTATTTTGCAATTTTACATCAGTTTAAAACAGGTTTGATGTCCTGTTCCCTAGCAATGTTGAGAAATTTGTCTGAAAAGTGCAATCTCCTTGGGAAATTTGTGCTGAGCCTTTGAAAGGCTGGTTTTGCCAAACACACTCAAACAGAAGATAAAATAAAATCACATTTTGGATGGCTAAAGACATGCTTGGCATGTAGCCCTTATTTTATTATCTGGGGCTCATCATTCGGAACTAAATCAAAAAGAGGTAGCCCCAAAAAAACAAAACACTGAGCTTTTTGTAGGTGTTTTTTTAAAACACTCTGTTCCAGATGTGTGTGATATACACAAATGTGGGTCAGAACATATGGCTAGATTCTCTCTTTTTTAAATGAAGGCCAAACTTTTAAAAAGTAAGATCAATGTAACTGGACTAGCATCACCCTTCAATAAGGCAATATAGATACAAGTTTTGTGGTTTTACCTCCAAAAAGTTTTGCCTATAAAATACTTCTTCTGGGGCGTCTGTTAGCAGGGCAAAACATTACAATAACAGGTTATTTTGATCTGGTAATTTATGGAGATGCTGATCAAAAAGGTTTGAACATGGGAAGAAGGGAAAGATATTTTAAAATTTTAAAGAGGGAGGGGTGAGTATATGCTTGCTTGCAACTGCTGTAAATATTAGAAATCGTTTCTTTATATGCCCTTTTTTATTTCTTTTGGACTTCTTCTCACAGACTTTTCTTTTTCTATCTCTCTTCACTTTTTTCTTTCCTTCCCCCCACCCCTTTCTTTAAATTTCACTTTGTGTGTCTGTAATTCTTCCATTCATTCTTGTCTGACTCTGCAGCCCTTGCAGTTTTCAGCCAAGGTTTTTCCTACAGGTTGTAAAGATGGAAAGGATGCTTATATATATATGAAAATACCCTACTGCTAAATATTTATTTCCCCTCTGCAAAAGTGTCTCTAGTTTGAGGTCTATACCATCCCAGGAAGAAAGAACGGCCCGTGACCAGGAGAAATTCATATCCAAAGTACATTTTATTGTTACAGATCAAAACACCAGTAAAGCTGAGGAATGGTGATGAAACATTTGGAATGTGGGATGTTACCATGGGAAGGGGAACGGGGGAATCAGAAATCCTTCCAGGATCTTTCTAGGAAGAATTCACAAGTGCAACACAGGACTTGGGTTAATAATACAAGACTGCAAAGGGGAGAGAAGGTTAAGAAGGCTGAATGGCAGACTCTCTCGTTCAGGGGACGATGGGCCTTGTGCAAAGCGGCATGAGGTTAGTGCAGTCTTCCCCCCCCCCATCTGACAGTCTCCAGATGTGTGGGCTTGCAAGCCCAATTCTGGAGGGTGTCATGTCACACATCTGGAGAGCTCTCAGCCAGTTGGGAAGGTTCGGTTAATACATGGCTGGCCTGTCAGGAGGCATCTCAACCAAGAGACCTCAAAAGCTTTGAGGTTCCCCTTGGTTTCCGAGGAGACGAAGCAGGAGCTTTGCGGGTGGTGCAGGACAGCTGCGTCTCACGGCTCCTGGTTGACCTCCTCCATCCCGGTCTCGGCCTGGATGCTCATGTCCTCCAAAATGGGGTTGACCAGCTGGCGGAGTTTCTCCACAGCCTGGTTAAAGCTGCTTTTCACCTCCTCAAGTTTCTCCTGCAACTGGTTCTGGAGCTCCTGAACGCGGCTGCGGAGCTGCTGGTGGACCATCTGGCCTTGCTCGCCGATGGCTTGTTTCAGGGCCTGGATCCTCTGCTGCCCCTTCTCATGGATGCTGGACAGGTAGGGCTCCAGGTTCTGACGGATGGAGCTGACTTTCTCGTCGGTGTTGGTTCGCAGCTCTCCGGCGTAGGTGCTCAGCTTCTGGCGCAGTTCCTCGGCGTCCTTGGTGAGGCGTTTCCTGAGCTTGCGCACCAACAGGTTGAACTGGGACTTCACGTTGTCCACGTTGTGGTCAACCATCAAACGGGTATCGCGGCAATATTGTATTAGCTTGCTCTTGGTCTCCTCCATGTCGTTTCTCAACTTCCCGGTGAGGGTGGCCACTTCGGTCTTCAGGCGCTCCTGAAGTTCTTGAGTATAGGGGCCAAACTTGGAACGCAGATCATCCGTGTAAAGGTCCACCTCAGCGATGGTGTCGGTGATAAGGCCACTAAGGAGACAGAGAAGCCGGTGGTCAATTTCTCGTGTCCATCGTATTCATAGAGCCATCCATGTTTGGTCTAGGAGAGCCAGTTTGGCCTAATGGTGAAGGACCAGGCTAGAAACTAGGAGACAGGGAATTCTAGTTCTGCCTTAAGCATGAAAGCTGGCTGGATGACTTTGGGCCAATCATTAGGAGACCATGAGTTCTAGTGCCATCCTAGACGTGGAAGCCGCCTGGGTGACTTTGGGCCAATCACCAGGAGTTGGTGAGTTCTAGTCCCACCTTAAACATGCAAGCTGTCTGGGGAATTTGGGGCCAATCACCAGGAGTTGGCGAGTTCTAGTCCTGCCTTAGGTATAAAAGCCAGTTGGGTGACTTTGGTCTAGTCCAGGGGTGAGGAACCTTGACTCTTTTATGACTGGTGGACTTCAACTCCCAGAATTCCTGAGCCAGCCATGCTGAGGGGAAAGGGAGAGGTTTCCATGCTGAGCCATGCTGGCTCAGGAATTCTGGGAGTTGAAGTCCACCAGTCATAAAAGACCCAAGGTTGCCTACCCCCTGGCCTAGGCCTGTATTTCTCAACCTTGGCCACTCAGAGATGGGTGGACTTCAACTCCCAGAATTCCTGAGCCAGCATGGTTCAGCTTGGAAACCTCTCCCTTTCCCCTCAGCATGGCTGGCTCAGGAATTCTGGGAGTTGAAGTCCACGAGTCATAAAAGAGCCAAGGTTGCCTACCCCCTGGCCTAGTCCTTTCCCTCTCAGCCCAACCCACCTCCCAGGGCTGTTGTGGGGAAAATTAGGCAGAGGAAGGATTGTTAATTTTGTTGGCTGCCTTGAGTTCTTTCTAAAAACAAGAAAGGCGGGATTAAAAAGTAAGAAAAACACTCACTCCAGTTCCCGGCTGAGCTGCGAGCTCCTGATCTGGGCAGTGACGTCATCGGCCATGTTCCCAGCCTTGGTGACGTAGTCCCAAAAGACGTCCATCGTTTCCTCCCATTTGGATTTTGGCTCATCTTGAAAGAAGGGATTGGCCCAGGAGGCTGCATGCAAATGAGAAAGGAAGAAAAAAAAACTAAGCCCAGATGTCTCGAGGAGGGGGACCTTTCGAACTCAGGACCCGCCAATCGGAAAGCACCCTTGGTCATCTGTCCCTTCAAAGTAGGTTCTTGAGTAGGTGTTGTTGGTACTCCGGCTACGATTGTCCACAAATGCCACCATCTTCCCTGAACTGGTGCCCTCTAGAATGCGCTGGACCAGGTCCCATAATCCCGTAGCCATCGTGGCCACATTTGCTGGGCATTATGGGGCCTGAACTCTAGTACATCCGGAAGGAATCGGCTCAGGGAAGGAAGGCTCGCGTTAATCATTGCATCTATAGCAACTGATAACTTGAGGGGTCCTTGGTGGTCTCTGAGCTTGGCTGTTTTCTTGCAGACGTTTCATGACCCAACTAGGGAACAATATCAGTGCTAGAAGGGAGTGGGGTTTGAGGAGAGGAGGAGGAGGAGGAGGAGGAGGAGGAGGAGGACTGAGGGGTCCTTGGTGCTCTCTAAGCTTGGCTGTTTTCTTGCAGATGTTTCATGACCCCACGTAGGGAACATCATGAGGGCTAGTCCTAGCACTGATGATGTTACCTAGTTTGGTAATGAAACATCTGCAAGAAAACCTCCAAGCTCAGACCGCAGCAAAGACCCCACAGTCCTCCCCCTCCTCCCCCTAAACCCCATTCTCTTCTAGCACTGATGATACCTAGTTGGGCAATGAAACGTTTGAAAGAAAAGAAGCAAGCTCAGAGACCACCAAGGACCCCTCAGATTATCCATTGCCATAGATACATTGATCCTTCCCTGAGCTGATTCCTTCCAGATACGCTGGACTTCAGGTCCCATAATGCCCAGCTTGTCCTAGCACTGATGATGTTACCTAGTTGGGTAAAGAAACACCTGCATGAAAACCGTCAAGCTCAGAGACCACCAAGGACCCTTCAGATTATCAGTTGCCATAGATACATTGATCCTTCCCTGAGCTGATGCCTTCCAGATATGCTGGACTTCAGGTCCCATAATGCCCAGGTAGTCCTAGCACTGATGATGTTACCTAGTTGGGTAAAGAAACACCTGCATGAAAACCAGCCAAGCTCAGAGACCACCAAGGAGCCCTCATTTCAACCCTAAGTTACAAATATTCTTGTTTATTGGAACTGATCATCTCTTTGGCTGAAATTCTTCCTCCTCTTCCTCCTAAATCAATGCCCCCCCAAGCATGTTGGCCTTTTCAAACCTTTTCTTACTTTTTTATCTCTCCCCCCTCCTTTATCTGCAAGGTAGGATAAAAGTCAAAATATACTGAGCAGTCAAGGTTGTACTACATCAGCAGGCAAGCCGTGACAGAAAAAAAAACTTCCTTCTTTTTTTTCCCCTGTGGTTAATTACAGTGGCCTCCTGTCGTTATGCAGAATGCCCTCACCTCTCGGAGAGCTGTGTTGTGGCAGGGAGTCCCAGAGGCTAGACGGGAAGCAGGAAACAGACTGGAATGGAGACTAATTCAGTTCTGTGTAATTTACTCAGCTTTGATGAAATAGTTACTTCTTAAGCCACGTTTAGGCAGGGCTGGGTTCAAGCATGACTCAAATCCTGTTTCCCCCATTAATGTGGCTTGTCGGAAGCCAGCTGGGAAGGTCACAAGTGGTGATCACGTGACCCTGGGATGCTGCAACTGTCGTAAGTACACGCCAGTTGCCAAGTGTTCGGATTTCGATCACGTGACTGCAGGGATGTTGCTACAGTACGAGGACTCTTGTAAACCATTTTTTTTCAGTGATGTAACTTGAACGAAGGGCTGTAAGTCAAGGAATACCTAAACGCCATCTTTAATTAAAAAGGATGGCCTGCTATACACAATTCACTCATTCATTGCCTTCCCACAATCTACTCAGCCCCATTAAAGGAGAATATTTGTAACTCAAGGTTGAAAAAAGGGCTCCTTGGTTCTCTCTGAGCTTGGCTGTTTTCTTGCAGACGTTTCATGACCCAGCTAGGTAACATCATCAGTGCAAGAAAGGAGTGGGGCTTGCAGCATGGAGGAGGAGCAGGAGGAGGAGGAGGAGGAGGAGGAGGAGGACTATAGGGTCCTTGGTGCTCTCTGAGCCTGGTTGTTTTCTTGCAGACGTTTCATGACCCAACTAGGTAACCTTATCAGTGTTAGAAAGGAGTGGGGTTTGTGAAGGAGAAGGGAGGAGGAGGAGGAGGAGGAGGAGGAGGAGGAGGACTATAGGGTCCTTGGTTCTCTCTGAGCTTGGTTGTTTTCTTGCAGACATTTCATGACCCAACTAGGTAACATCATCAGTGCAAGAAAGGAGTGGGGCTTGCGGCATGGAGGAGGAGGAGGAGGAGGAGGAGGAGGTGGTGGTGGAGGAGGAGGACTATAGGATCCTTGGTGCTCTCTGAGTTTGGCTGTTTTCTTGCAGACATTTCATGACCCAACTAGGTAACACCATCAGTGCCAGTCTAACGTATTATGGAAACCTCAGTCTCTCTGGATCAAACCAAGAGTTCAGCCAGTCCATCTTTCTGGCGTCCCAGTCTGCCCAGAGACCCTAAGTTTTATTCCTTGCTTACCACTGGCTACAATGTCCCCTCCCTCCCAGTAGAGAATCCAGAGGTACATTGCCACTGTACATGGAAGCTCCACCTCCGTGAAGGAGAGGCATCGTCTACATGCCAGCGATATTCAAGAGAATCAAAAGAGGGTTGAGAAGCAGACTGCTTACTGATTTTTCTATCTCCCCCCCAACTCCTTGGTTTCCCCTGTTTTGTAGAATTGCACGTCCCAGTTTGGTTACTTACCACTCAAGAGCCCCACGGCGAAAAGGAGAGCAAAGAGCTTCATGGTGATCGGTCGATCCTTTGGGGGAAAAAAAGAGAGAGAGGCACATCAGGTTAGGAGGTGAATTTAGGGGAAATGAGAGATTTCTTTTTCACACACCCCCAGGACCCTAAGACCCCCAGACCCAGGATCAGTTACAGTTCAGCAGTATTCTTTTTATTCTATTATTCTATCTTATTCTATTATAACCCAGAAAGGAAATTACTGCACTGTTAAATTCCCGTTGCCAGTTCAACATCCAAGCAACACCTTGAAATCTCAACCTCTTGTTTGTTTCCTCCAAGTTTTTGGCATTGCCGTCACCAACAGACCCACCATCTCCCTGGTTTTCCGTTTCTAACCCAGTTTGCAACCGGCCACCGTCCCAGAAAAAAAAGTTGCAAAGATCCAAAACAAGTCGTTGCATCTACCTGTAGATTTTTAAACCTAAACTTTTCTTATTAGGTATAATACCAGAAAAAAAATTGATAAGCAAAGTGCGTATTTAACATTGCATGTACTAACAGCAGCAAGGATTGTTATTTGCTCAGCACTGGAAGAAGGAAGAAACACCACTAGGCGAAAAGATAATCCAGAAGATATTGGACTGCGCCGAAATGGACAGACTTAACAATGAGGATCAAAGAGAAAGAAGATACAGGATATTTTCAAACGTGGAATTTATTTTATCTCTGGCTGGAAAAAAGGGGTAGAGACTAAGGATGTCCCCCCTTGTGCTATTAATCAAACAAATTAGCCCAGACCACACCGTGTTCATTAAGAATTAATCAAATGTAATAATAAAAAATCAATGACGCTTTTTGAAAAGAAAAGAAAAAAAGATCCAAAACAAGAACCCACCGAGTCGCTGACGAGTTTTCCTGGTCTTTCACCTCCCTTTCTGCCGACTCCGGGAAGTTTGTTCTGTCAGCCCTTCTACTCAGCAGACTTTTAAATACCCAGCTCAGCCTGGGGGGGTGGGGGGGTGGGGGTGGAGAAAAGGGGCGGCCCTGGCAGAGTCAGCAGCTGGAAGAGAGAGAGAAAAAAAAAGCTTGCCGTGGTGGCATTGGGGACAAAGTTTAATCTCCATCACCACTTGAACACCCAGGCTTAACCCTGACATCTCCAGGACATAAAAACAGGGAGAGAAATAACAACTCATTGGCACATCTGGAAAAGGAGGCAGTTTCTGTGCACACAAAGCTCTTGGCACAGCTGGAAAAAGAGGCAGGTTCTGTGCGCACAAAGCTCTTGGCACAGCTGGAAAAAGAAACAGGTTCTGTGCGCACAAAGCTCTTGGCACAGCTGGAAAAAGAGGCAGGTTCTTTGGCACAAAGCTCTTGGCACAGCTGGAAAAGGAGATGTCGGGAGACAGACATACCTGGGCATCTATTCTTCTCCTACCTGTGATGTTGGGTGTGCCGGATTGTTATTTTGTTCACCTGTATTTATTTATTTATTTATTCATTATACGTAGTTGTTCAACTGGTACGCTGCCCAACGCCTGACTAAAAACGAACCAACAAAATTGAGAGTCAGCTTGGTCTGGTGGTGAAGGCACCAGACTAGAAACTGGGAGACTGGGAGTTCTAGTCCCACCTTAGCTATGAAATCCAGCTGGGTGACTTGGGGCCAACCACCAGGAGACAGGGAGTTCTGGTCCCGCCTTAGGCATGAAAGCCAGTCACCGGGAGATAGTGAGTTCTAGCCCCAACTAATGAACAAAAGAAGGTTGGGTGATTTGGGGCCAATCACCAGGAGAC